ACAGAATGTGTAATAAGTCACCCTTGCACTGTTCGAATCTCCAGCATAGCTCTGACTCTGCAGAGTGACTTAGCATGCAGAAGGGTCAGTGTGCGGGTTATAATACCATGAATCTTGATACTTATTACAGGTATGTGGGTGTGGCGATCCCCCCCTCCCCGCTTAGCTTCCTTGCATGGCAGAATGACAGGAGCGAATCCGGGTCACACCCCCTTTCTTCCCCCGCTTGGGAGTGGCCTGGCTGCTGCATGGAGAGATAGAGCGGCTCTAGTACACTTGCCCACTCTTTCCCTTGCTTCTCCTTTGAGCAGTGAAGGAGTCAAGGGAGAGAGGGGGAGCAGCTTTCATGCAAAAGTGGAGGTAGCACTATTCATGGCAGTGGGCTCCAGTTTGGATTGCAGCTCGTCCCCACCCGCTCCTTCTCACCCCCTCCCACCTGGAAGTAGTCAAGTGTGACCAATCAGGAGGAGGACAAGTGCATCATAAGGGACCATGCATCCCAGAAGTACAAGCAGCCCCCATTTTAAAACTGAATGGAGCAAACTACAGCCGCCAGGCTGCTGTGCAGGAGGAGGAGAGCCTGGAGCCCTGGGAAAAAGTATCTGGGCAGTGCTACAGGGGACAGAGAGGAGATGGAAGGTTGAGCTGAGGAATGCGGAAGAGAGATACTTCGACCACCAGAAATCCCCTTGCTGTGCCAGTCTCTGCATAGTTTTGTGACCTGAAAGCGAAGAGCCTACCAACGTGTTAAAGAACTCTAATGGGTGCCAAATACAAAGTTAAGTTGCTCTCTCATGCAATCAATCAAAGCAAGCTGCTTCCATTTTCAGACCTGGTGGGATCGAGATATAATGTCCCTGGAGACACTAGCCTGATTTTGGTAGTTGTGGCAACTCTCCCACGCCTTTTGGAGTGACAATTTCTCTAATGCTCCTGTTATTCCAACTATATCATAGCTAGAAGATGGGTTTAGTGAACAGTCCGATCTTAACACACGTATACTATACTGTACAAACATTTATGTATGTCTACTTTTCCAGATTTGACCTCTTTCTGGAATAGGTGGCTAGCGGACCATTGCAGACCTAGACGGGGAGGATTGGTCTGATATTTGGGAATTCCCATTTAAACAACTTGTTTACCTCAGAGATAGACTTAGACATTCAATTTAAAATATACACAGAGTGTATTTTACCCCATATAGAGTGCATAAAATGGACCCCATTCCTCCCAAAATTCTTGAGATGCTTCCATGAGTTGGGAGATTTCTCCCACATATTTTGGTTGTGTCCTGCCATAAAATCCGTACTAGGAATCTGTTGTTGGGATAATTAAGCATGTGTCAGGATCATAAAATTCTCACCCTCCCAATGCATTTTTGTCTACTAGGTCTGGTTGAGGGGCTTGCAACTACAATAGCCGAACGGACACTCCTGGGGTTCCTCTTGTTTTATGCCAGAAAGGTTATCATCCTTACCTGGAAGAAGCCCACTCCCCCAACTTTGACCCTATGGTTAACGCTGCCCTCCCTCTTTACAAAGATACATTCTTCCCATAAAGGTTGTTCACAAAAATTAAAAAATGTAATCTAAATGGCTACAAGATAATTCCACGGCTAGCATGTGAATGGTTTTTCTGGGTATTACATTGTTGTATTAATTGCGAGGGGGGTGATTAGGCTGTTTTGGCCTTGGCCAGGGGAGGCCCTTAACACTCCTTTCTGTTATTTCATTGTGCCACACACTATCACAGTTCTTTTGTTTTGTGCCCCTGTGTGGGCCTTATTTTGTTGAGAAAAAGCTTAATAAAATGAAGAAAAAAAAAAAATAGAACTCCGATGACTTAGCTGAAGCCCGCCCCTAACCATTGCTTCCCCAAAGTCTTTTTTATTTTTTTTTGTTCTATAAAGAGCATCCTCTTAAAGGATGCTGTGCAACACCCCAGCCAATATATTAGTGAGTGCACCAAAATCCAGTATAGAGCTATAATCATTATTAATGCATTTAAAGTTTCAGTTACATTGTTTATTGCTGACTTGCTAATTTGTGTATTTATTCTGGTTGGTGATATAGAGCTATATAAACTTTTCCCTGTTTTTCAACTACTTGGACGTAGCTTTGGCTCTGTTTAGCAGGCTGTGTCCTATTTCAATCCTATTTCAAACTGCCATTTATTCTAATCCATATCAACAGAAGTGTGTTTACTGGTAACAGCCCACAGTCAGGGTTAATGGTATAGTTAGCTTGTGCTATTATTCATGTTTGCAGCAATTATTCTTGAACCAGGTGTTTCAGAGGAGCTGAGGTTATACTTGAAGTCGAGGCGAGAAAAGAGGACCAAAAAATTATCAAGCGTCTCCTTATTCGGTGGTACTATACGTAGGGATCGTCTGCAAGACAAACACCCCAGAGACCATCAAGATGGAACCTGCTGCTACAACCCAGTGGTGTGAGGAGGAAAATGGCCGCTGGGAGTTTTGTGTGAGAGAGATTAACATTCCTGGGGAGGCCTGGATGGAGAGGCAAGCTTGATTAGGCAGTGAAGAGACACTAGTCCGCTGACCAGAGGATGGGTGTGATAGATGTCAAACCCAATCATACTTATCCCCTGCTAAAGTGGAGGAAAAGGATCGCCACCTGTTTCCAAGGGGCCAGTTTACAGTTGACCTCTAAGGTCAAATCTCACTTAATCAATTTGAACTTAGCAGATATTAGTCCAGAAAGTTCAAGCCAAATAGCTCCTGCAAAAGAAGCAGTCTTACCGGCATCTGTAGCCTTGATTGGGTTATAATTCATTGCGGCCTTGGAGAACGTTGTGAAAAAGTTTGAAGGAGTAACCCAACATACACTGCATCCAGATATTGGAAACGACTTTTCAGAGAGCCCTTTTCCAGAAAGCAACCAATGCCTGCAGGAAAAACAGCTTTGAGGAGTGGCTGGAGGCAAGCCCATGCAAACTTTAGATGAATGGGACATTCCCGAGGCCCAGTAGCAACATAGAATCACTGAGGCCTTCCTCAGAAACCATTCACAACTTGAAGCTTTGCAAACAGGACTGTACTTCTTATGTCTACTTGAGTATTCTACAAGTTGTATTTGGGTGAACATAAAATGGATCTGATCTCATGCACCAGTTTGAGCATACCTAATCAAAAGGAAGGAAAGAAGCTATCCAACTATATGAGACTATACAAGTTAATGCATCAGATATTACTGAAAAAGGGCCTAGGTCCCAGGTCAGAAGATGAGGTTTTGGCACAACAGGTTTTGAGGGGAAGCTCAACCCCTAGACCCTATCACGATCCAGCTAAAAACTTGAGATGGTGGAATCTTAAAAAAGTATTCTGACTTAATTCGTAAGAGCTGGAAAAGCAAAAAGAAGAGCCTAGTATAAAATCACGTTGATATATAGCAAGAAAACTGCAAAGCATATGACTACTGCCTATATACAACAGAATTACAAACAAAAATTTCTATAAAGTGTCCATTGATGTAAAAAGTCTAAAACCATAAGGGATTCCATAACACATCTGTGTTCCCAAACCATGATAAATTCACACGACCCAATATTCTATCCTCGTGGGCGCCGGCGGCGATGACATCACGCGCTGTCAGCTCCTCCTGTAAAATCCTCCACAGAGCGTGACGTCATCGCCGCGCAGATCCATGAGGAGGCCCGGCGGCCAATCTTTTAAAGGGTCAGTGCTGCATTAATTTGTCACTGTGCTTCACTCTGCATACTACCCTGAATTCTTTAACCTTGATCATAAATAAACTACTTTTTTCTGAACATACTACATTATTGGCACATGTTTTGGGCTCCAATGTGGAGCTATTCAACCTGCATATAGTTCCTATTGCACCCAGCATCCAGAGGTGGGAGCCCTGTATCCAGGCTGAGCGCCTGTCTATCCTTAAGGGGACCTCTGGACTGGCAGATTCTCATATTACTCAGCTTGATGACCATAACCCAGAAGGAAGCCCACCATCTGCCCATTACAGATTTCTACCTGGTGGTTATACACTTAGATGCTCATTATCCATGGCATTCGGTGGAGTGTGCATTCTTTCCATTGATTCCAGTCACAAATGTTTATTAAGAGATTAGCTGCTGTCTAGAAGAATCATCACCTGTGCCATTTTGAACTTTTTCTCAACTAAATGAACTTATATCAATGACAATAAATAAATAGATATATTTATTTATTTATATACGATTAGTGTTGCACTTTATTTATTTATTGCAATTTTGTGGTTTCCTTGAGTGCTTCAGCTGCTATTTATAAAGAGCACACTCACTATATTATCATTTCTTCTAAGTGATATATTGATTGCTTTGTGTCAGGGAATCAAGGAGTGACCAGAAAGGTGTGGACCTGACACAGGGAAAAAAAAAAAAACGCAGGTTTCAGGTATAGTATAATACAGGTTTATTATTAGCCACCCAGATATATATATATATAAACGCACAGTAGAGCAAACTAACCTTCCACTAATTTAGGAGGTGCAGGAACACAGGCGTAGTCAGGGCTGGAGAGGTGGAATGGTCAGGCCCGGCCCGTGCGGGTTCTGTAACGACTGCCTGGTGGTACCTCTAGCGGTCCTCAAGGGCAGGATTCCCCAGGGCGCGGAGTATCTAAGTCCCAGTCTGCTATTCACCAGGGCCCCTGATGGTGGGGATGGGACTTGGAGCAGACAGGAACCAGTCGCGCCACCCCTGAGTACACCTGCTAGTGATAGAGGGATCCGCCAGAGGGTATGTGCAGGTACGGCTGGATCCGTGCAGGATGGATGGATGGCAGAGTAGTGAGCGTGGTCAGAATGGGCCCAAGTCAGCAACGTGCGGGCAGCAAGGTATCAAAGGAGCAGGCAGAGAATGGTCAAGGTCACAAGCCGGGTTCAGTAACTCACGGACAGCGCTGTACAGAGGATCAGGCAGAAGGATGTTCAGATGATGAGCCCACGTAGTCAGAAACAGGAGCGGTCAACAGGAATCAGGAATCAGGCAGGGTCGGCAACAAGGTATCTTTCCTCACAGGAACTAGGAACAGGATTACAGGGGTCTCATGGGAAAACATACCAACCAAGGCCCAGGAGCACAAGGCCTGGTCAGATGCCATTAGATTTTACACCTTTCTGTAATCAGCCCCAGTTGGCTGATTGTGAGCTTCTGGCTGCTAAGAGGCACCCGCTGGTCAGCTCTGGTACTGCAGCCCACACGGCAGGAGAGTTCCCACCACCCAATGCTGATAGACACCCGCTGTCAGCTCAGGATACTGCAGCCCACACGGCAAGAGAGTCCCACCACCAGATGCGCTGAGAGCACCCGCTGGTCAGCTCTAGGTACTGCAGCCCACACGGGATAGAGTCCACACCACCAGTGCTGAATCCATTCCTGACAGAACCCCCCCCCAAGGAGCGGCCTCATGGGTACGCTCCAAACAGTCCCCTTAGTGGGCAAAAAGATGTTATCCACCGCCCGGGTCCTTAACTGGCTGAATATCCTACTGCCGGAGTAAACCGGACTGGCTGGGTTTCCTGCTTGGTAGACTTCTCTTTGTGTAGGAGAATCAAGGAAGGCAGGTCACTGGGCACAATACAGGATTTCCAGGAGCTGGCTGGGTATCAGTTATCGGCCAGTTTTAACTGGACATCAGGGCTGGCATGTCAGGGCTGTGTAGCGGGCAGAGGCACGTCAGCGGGCCACCGAGTCATCTGGCACGACAGCGGGCACAGAGTCACCGGGCACGTCAGCGGGCACCAAGCTGCTTCTAGCAGGAGAAACCGCGGGTACCCGGGTCACCAAGCTCGACAGCAGGCACCGAGTCAACTTGGCACGAGACAGCGGGCACCGATGTCAACTAGCACGACAGCGGGCACCGAGTCAACTGGCACTACAGCGCGGGCACCTGAGTCCAACTGGCATCGAGTCATCTAGCTCGACAGCGACATGAGCTCGGGGCACCGAGTCAACTGGCACCGAGTCAACTGGTATGGCACAGCGGGCTGCAACCGAGTCTATCAAGCATCAAGTCATCCGGCTCAACAGCGGGCACTGAGTCAAAGCTTCAAGAGCATCAAGTCATCCCACTTGCCTGAACAGCGGGCACTGAGTTCATCAAGCATCAAGTCATACCGGACCCCTCAACCAGCGTATTCACTGAGTCAACTGTACGACAGCGGGCACCAAGTCAACTGGCACCGAATCATCAGGCATCAAGTCATCTGGCTTCGAGCTAGCTGTAACGCACCGATTCAAATCTGGCACCGAGTCAACTGGTATGACCAGCGGGCACCGAAGACTCAACCTCTGGCACCGAGTCCACTGGCACGACAGTCGGGCACCGTAGTCAACAGGCACGACAGCTGGTAAACACCCGAGTCAACCGGCTCACGGACATTCGGGCTGCCGAGGTCAACCGGCATCAAGTCATCCAGCTCAACAGCAGGCACTGATTCAACTGTGCACCAAGTCAACTGGTACGACATTTTAGGGGGCACCAAGTCAAACTGGCAACCGAATCACAATCAGGCACCAAGTCATCTGGCTCGACAGCGGGCACCGAGTCAACTGGCACCAAGTCAACTGGGTAGCGACACAACGGGCACCGAGTCATCAGGCATCAAGTCATCCGGCTCCAACAGCGGCAACCCATGAGTCAACTGGCACCGCGGGGGATATAGGTAGTCAACTGGTACGACAGCGGTCAACCAAGTCAACTGGCACCGAATCATCAAAGCATCAAGTCATCTGCTCGAAACATCGGCACCGAGTTTTTCAACTGGCACCAAGTCAACTGGTACAGACAGCGGGCACCGAGTTCAACTGGCACCAGAGTCAACTTAGGCAGCCGAGTCAACTGGCAGGAATTTGGTACAGTGAGTGGGAGTAGGGTTACCGACATGTGGCAGATTGCTGGGTATACTGGGCTGTCCACTGGGGGGGCTGTCACTGGGGGTTATCTGTTACGGGAACGTCAGGAAAAGAGCTTTGAGCAGAGGAATGATGAGAAAACAGGACTGGGTTTCGTTGCAAGCTGATTGTTGGCTGGGTGTAACAAGTCTGACCATGTCTGCAGTAAGGGATTGTTTACAACGCTCAGCTTTACACAAGGCCTGTCTGATCAAAAGTTTGCACTGCGTTTATACACTTCTTTTAGCACCTGTGGTGAATATGCTGAAATAATGCTCCCCAGAGAGCAATCCGGATCATCCTTGTCCCAACAACCATACCAGTGATATTATTTGACTCGCCCTGAATGTGAGGAAGAAATTCATCCCTGCTTTCAGGGTGACTAGATGAGCCAACACAATACAAGTCCTGAATACAATGGTTGCACCATCAGATCAGCTTGTGAGTGGTCCTGACCTACTATTGAATGAGCGCCCACACAATCTTCACTCTAGCTGCTGGTATCCCTGTGGTATACACCCGCAGAGTCTTCATAGGCATCATTTCTCTGTCATCAAAGCTAGCCATAGACAAATATATAACCTCCCTCAGGATGGCATCCTTTCACGACATTTCGTCAAGCCGTCAAGATGTGCTTCCCTGTGCAGCACATCTTCAGGTCAGGAAAGGCCTGGTGTGATGTCAGGAATCAAGGAGTGACCATTGCGAAAGGTGTTGACTGACGCGCAGGGAAACGCAGGTTTCAGGTGATAGTATACATACAGGTTATTATTAAGCCACCACGCAGATAAATATATATCAGACGCACAGTGAGCAAACAAAACCTTCCCACTATTTGTCATCTTAGGAGGTGCAGGAATCACAGCGCTTAGTTTCTCAGGGCCTGGAATAGGTTGAATGGTCAGGAGGCCTGTCCGTAGGTCTACAGGGTATCACGACGTGCCATGGAATAATAGACCATACAATCACTGCGTCCAGTCCTGGTCATCGAATCCCCAGGGCGCGGAACTAAGTCCCAGACTAGAGCTAATTCACCAGGGCCCCTGATGGATGGGGATGATGACTTGGTCGCAGACAGGAACCAGGATCCGCGGCCGCAACTGAGTACACCCTGCTAGTGATTAGAGGAGCCAATCCGCCAGAGGTAAATTTGCATGTAAACGGCTGGATCCTTAGCAGGAATGGATGTCGATGACAGAGAAGAGATCGTGGTACAGACGTGTGACCTAGTTCCAGCAACGTGTCTGGCAAGCAAGGTAATCGAAAGGAGACAGTCAGAGAATGGTCCAAAGGTCACCGAGGAACCGGGTTACAGTAACTCACCTGACAGCGTCAGTAACAGAGGCATCAGGCAGAGAGGCGAATGGTCAAGGGATGAGTCCAGTAGTCCAGACAGGAGAACGGTCAGACAGTAATCAGGATCATGCAGGGTCCGGCCAACAACGGATATCTTTCTCAACAGGAACTAAGGGAACAGGATCGCAGTGTGTGCGAGCCGATGTGGGAAACCATACATCAAAGGCCCAGAGCACAGGCCTGGTCATGCCATTATATACACACTTTCTGTAATCAGCCCCAGGTTTGGCTGATTGTGAGCTCTTCTTCTGGCTGCCTAAGAGCACCCTGCTGGTCCATCCGACTGGTAACTGCAGCCCACACGGCAGTGAGAGTCCCACCACCAGTGCTGATGAGAGGCACCCGCTGGTCAGCTCTGGTAACTGCACCACACAAACGGCAGGAGAGTCCGCACCACACATTGCTGGAGAGCACCCCTGGTCAGCAGCTAGGTACTCGGCGGCAAGCCCACACGCTACGCAGAGAGTCCCACCACACCAGTGCCTGAATCCATACCTGACACATATGTGTGAAAGTATATAGCATTTACAAACTCCTGGTATCAGATAATGGACATTTACACAGCTCTTTACTTGAACTGACTGCCCATCACATATTCTTGAGGTGCTTAAAATACCAGGACAGTAAAAACAACCCCCATAACGACAAACCTTATTTTGGAAAGTATACACCCTAATCTATCTTCCTGATAGGGATAATTGAGTTCCAATGGAAGATTTATATTTCCCACAAGTTTTTGCATATGACCAATATTTTTTTATTATTTTTTACACAAAGATGCGCTCTATGGGTAATAGGTGGAACTACACCCCAAAGTAACATTATGCTATGTACTATTTCAATGGTTTTTGATTAAATTTTTTTAAAACACGTATAAACACTCGGCAGTTAAAAACACCTGCCCACGGCAGGCTCACTCACTTGAGCACAGATAAACAAAATGCCAAATAAAAAAAAAAGGTGAAAAAGCAATGCTCTAATGTCCAACATGGGCAGAAAGGTACGCCCACGGCAGGGGCTAGACACTCAAAAGGACACGATAAATTTTTAACCAAACAGTAATGTCACTGATTATAACAACTAAATGCAGTCTGTCCTAAGTCACACCAGAAACAGAGAGAGAGAGAAAAAGGAAAAGAAAGGAAAAAAAAAAAAAAGGTGGGGGGGCAAGAGATCAGCGGATTCAAGAGCGCCAACATACAACGAACGCGCATTACATGCTTCCCAGACTAGCCGGGGAGAGTTAGGTGAAGGGCATATTTGCAAAACCTACGGCCTCCCATATTTATTCAAAAAGAGAGAGAGGAGCGCTATGGGAGTTCAATTGCGGATACTCGACATACTGGTGTTCGTTAGAGCATCATAAGTGGTCATACGATCCCGCACGCCACCTGAAGAAGGGACAAACGGACTCCTCCAGGCCTGAGCAAATTGATTCTAGTGGCGTATAAAGAACAGATAGGAATCCAACTTCTGCTGGTGAGTCCAAGAGGCCCCGGTATGGGCAATGAAGCAAAGCCATCACCGAACATCCTGTCTGGCGTATGGAGAGATGGGAACAAAGTGAAAAACAGGAGGCCAAAAATACACGAGACCAAAAACGACAACAGGTCCTCGTCATGACCACCACAGATATGCAATACATCACCACAACCCCGAAAACATCGATGCGAGCCCATGCGCGCGGCAGGTTAGCCCAGGCCAACCGATCCGTGAACCCATCTACCAACGAAATCAAAACCTTAAGCGACGTGTGCAGCCTCCAGTGGTGGCCGTATTGAAATGTATCATATAGCTATGAGTGACCATGCCTTAATTCCAGTCCCTGCCTGATCCACAGCCCACTCCCCAGTTCGCGGCTCCCCGACTGGAACCAACATATGAAAGAGAAGTATGTGCGATGAAGCGTGCTGTTCAGAGCAGTGTGCGCACGCGAGAAGGGATATAAGGGCCCGGTAGCGCCCGATACCGCTGTTGGCCAAAGCTTTTCAAATGCAGATTTCTCAGGTACGGGAACGGCAGAAGTAACCCCCCGCAGCGAGAGCAGCCAGTGTCGTCGCAATTATGAAGATAATCGAAAAAAATTCCGCTGGGGTGAGCGAGCGAGATCCGATGTAGATTCCCCGAAAGAGTCCCAGGTGGGAAAGGAGCGAAAAAAACAAAAAGTGTCCGCAACCTAGCGAAAAACCATTAAGGTCACTCCACTCAATAAAACGCCCCTTGGGTGATACCAATCCCGTGCGGAACAGAGGGATGTTAATAAGTAGGAGATGAGCAAAGGCAGAAAAGGTGACATCAGACCACCAGAATAACGTACCGAGTCCCACCAAACATGTAGGCCCATGAAAGTAACAGTCGTACTCAGTGGCTCGATAGTGCGCAGGGCATGGTGGATGCCATGAGAAGCGTCGACAGTGCCGATAGGGGCAGCAAATTAGGGTAAGTTTCCACAACTAGGACCAAGAGGGGGACGTCCGGAAGATGCCGTGGCAAACATATACATCGCGGCCAATCTGGCTTCCCTTAGAAATGAATACTATAGTCACAGTAAGGCCACCCCCAATGAAGGGGACCACGGCGCTGATTTCTAATGGTGCAAAAAGTCGATAACTTTTGGAGTACTCTGGGGTGCTTATCGGCCCAGATAAAATGCATTAACCTTCGCCGTGATAGCAACGCTAAGAAAATGATGGGGGAACCCCGCGACCGGTTGGGGATAGGTGTGCGAAAATAATACATACAATTTTAGGCAAGATGGACATTTTCATCACCGAATTAAAAACTCCGTTCCTATCCAAGACAGGTGCGGAAATTGTCCAAGAATGCATAATGAGAGGATATGGTGATGGAGTGCTACAGCAATGCGATAGAGTGGGCGGGAGCACGATTTGCAGCTAAACAAGGAGTCATAAGTGGGTGGTCAAGCGAGACAAGCCCTAAGTATTCCAAGGCAGAAGGAGGAAGCCCATTTGTTAAGTGGGAAGTGGGATTGTAATGTCTAGCAGAACCAAGATCCGTGAAGTGGGAGGTCCAAAGTAATAATTGAGGGCTATAGTCCTTATCCAAGTTTGATATCGGAGATCCCGAAAATCAAGAGAAAGCGCTCAAGAACCTGTTGCAAATTAGAAGCTTAAGCTGTCTGTCAGGGGGTTTAGTAAGAGTTCGAGGAGGGCATCATCCCGCAAAAAATATACATTTATGAATTCCTGTCCCGCGTTAATGAACCCCCGAGATACAGTTGCAATCGGGTCCGAAGCGCTAAAAGTGCCAGCGGCATCAAGCCGCCATGACAAGAAGATCGCTGGGACAGGGGACACAACCCAGTACTTGTCCCCCTCGCCGCAAATAGGAGAAGGGATCTGCGACAAATACCCAGCGTATTTGACGGAGGTCCGAAGGAGAAGGAATAACAAGGCCAGGATCCAAGGAGAGAATATAATCTCCCCCAAAACCCCAACTAGACAGACAGCACAAACCGCAGATAAGCCCAGATAGAAGAATCAAAAGCTTTATAGATGTCTAAAGACATGTAAGAATCCTGGGGATTATACCCGTTGTTGCAGAAAATGTAATAAGATTGACGGACCTACCTTACGTTACGTGTAAGTCTACCCCCTGCCTCCCGTGGACGTAACCCCACCTGGTCCTGTGGGACCAGGCTAACGCAAATATTTATGGATGTCGAAAACTTAAGGATCTTTGCCCAGTAATCATCAGGTCCGTTCATTAAGAAGAGAAATAGGGGCCGGAAGGCTTTGCGGTTTCCCTGTACATCATCAGGTCGATCTTAGGAAGTCATGGCGATAGTCGCTGCTCTAAGCGCATCTGGAGAGAGCGAGGACTCCCTGACGTAACTCCCCCCGCGCATTGTAAAGATACTCATCCAAAAAGTGCGCCACAAAGGCTGTGAAATTATCTTATAATAAATACCGGAAAAGCCGTCGTGGACCACTGGGCAGCCTCGGTGGAGCCTGGTAAAGTAATTTGATAGCTTGGAGCACTTTCTGGTAACAGTGACACTAGGCTGTTGAGTGCCAACCTGTGCCGCATCGGATAACCCATGTAAGTCGGGAGATCTTGAAAACTAAGAGATGCATCTGCCTGAGCCACGGGAAGGGCATCTGTTATTAGGCGTAGATGCGATGAAAGGCAGACTGAGAAACGGGAAAACAATCTGCAGGGTGATTAGAAGTACAGCCACCTGTAGGTAAGACGCGAGTCGAATCGGTTTATTATTGTGGTTTTCCCACTAGAATAGAGTTTTCCTGGAGCCAGTCAGTCTGGGCCCGGCATATTTAGTCATATGGAATAAAATATGTAGTTATGGGTCCAGCGCAAGGGCCCGCGTTCTGGCCTCCGAAGGAGGCAAGTAAAGTGCCAACTCTGGCCCTCTTGCATCTGGGCGGGGCCTCAGTACTTCGTGGGCTGCCCAGAGACTAGGTCTGTCCCGGCGGTGCTCTGCCCGCCCAGAAGCGTCCCCGAGCGCGTTTTATTGGGGCTCGGCAGAATGGAGAGATGACAGTCCAACGTGCATGCGCAGAGGCCAGGAGAGAAATGAAGCTCTCAAAAGACGGGCGCTCAATGCCGATTCCCGCATTCCAGGACCGCCGCCAGCTGTACTAACATGTACCGGCCTGCAACCAGTTGTGGGCCTTATGCTCCTCCCGATAAATGGGCACAGCAGAGGAGACCGAGTCCGCTTTCGATGTATCCGTAAAGCGTATGTTCGTAAAAAAAAAAAAATCTATTTGGTTGGGTCAGGTCAGCCTGAGCGTGGTCAATAAAGGAAATCATTAGATGCCGCCAATGAAAAGGGTCGCCGTGTCTGACCCAGAGAGGGGCAAGGAGCAAGTACCTGAATTGATCGTGATCCGACCAAGGCGAGTAGGGAATAAGTTTATCCCGCGCTGACCAAGGGAAGCTGCTGAACCTGCATAAATTATATGATCAATATCTACAAAAACTATCAAATGAGGACCTGGGAATAGAATGTAAAGTCCCGATCCGTTGGGTGATAGCATTCCTCCAGAAGAGACTGTCCGCCCAGCCCCGCTGAACCCCGCAGTAGAGAGCGCATACAGATCCTCCACAGCGCCAAGTCATGAGAAGGGTGCCGCCCCCCGTGCGCTAGCGCCTTGATCCACTGCGGCATCCCATAGTAACAATTCGAATCCCCCAATACTTACTACTCTAATGGTATAACCCATCAGTGAGTGTCGGGAAACACTGGTATTCAAAGATGTGAAAAGAATTTAGCCTGAAAACGATTAGGCGCGTAGTATGAGACAAAAGTAACTTCCTCGGTCCCAGAGGGTGCCATGCAGAAGCAGAAATACCTGCCCGAGGGGGTCCCGCTATATTTCCTAGCACAGACCCAAAGTGGGAGATTGCGTTTAAAAAGGCGATCAGGGACACACCGCCGACGCTTCTGCACTGCACTTCACATCTCAGGAGCCGATGCCGTGTAAAAGGTGTGGAATAAGTGAGGTGAACAGATAACGTGGGGCGGCTT